TGCATGAAGTTTGGGAACTCTGTGTCACCTTTACAGTGAGCGATGAATCCTGTATGTCGGCCGATCATAGCAGGAGCCCCGTCGGTAGTCACTGATACCTGCTTTTCCAACGGTACCTTTTTCTTCGCGAAAACTCCTTCACCGCGTTATAGATGTCAACTCCCTTCGTTGTTGTCTTTAGCGGCAGTAGTGTCAGAAGTTCTTCTTTTGTGGAGAAACCATCAAACACCATCCGGATAAAGACCATCAGCTGTGCTGTACTGCTGCTGTCTACGGACTCGTCACACTGGATGCTAAACCACCTGCACTTTGCCAGATCCTGATCCAACTGATCAGCCAAGTTCCCGGACATAGCCGACACTCTTCTAACGATTGTAGTTGCCCCCAGCTGGACATCGGAGAGAGTGGAGATTACATTGTTTCCATATTTCTCGTCTTTAAGCATAGTTTTTGCAATTATCATCATTGCTTCTTTGAAAACCTCCCCGTCTAAAAATGCCTTCTTTTTCTTAATCATGAAATGTGTAGCTCTAAATGAGGCTTCGGTTGCTTTTTGGGAGGTTTTTTTTTTTGCTCAAACCTGTCTTTAGCTCGCGGGGGTTTTCCACTCGCAGTGTGCTGCCCTTTGGGTAGTTAGCATGGTAGCTTGTGTGACACGTTCGGAAATGTCTCTCCACGTTGTGCTGCTTTGCCGTTGCCACAGTCGCCCCGCAAATGAGACACACCCATGAATCTTTCACAGTGGTAAAAAGCTCTTCCTCCCATTCACTGTGAAAATGATATGTTTTCTTCTTCTTCTTTTTTCCGCCATTTTTTCCTCATCTCTTCACCTTTGCTGGTCTTCACGGCAACGGTTTCCGTGGAGACCAGCTAGAGCTCATCTAATATTTAATAATAATATTTTTTTTAATATATTATCTCTAACAAATTGACACCAATGCAATTGTGATTTTAAAAAAATGGCAAGAAAAAAATAAAAATAGATGCAGCTAACTGGTAAGTTGTTATGGTGAGCTATTTTTAGAACAGGCCCGCGGGCGACTCATGTGGTCCTTGCGGGCGACCTGGTGCCCGCGGGCACAGTGTTGGTGACCTCTGGGTCAGAGAAATGGCAACTCCCTTGCCCCAAAAAGCCCAACTAAGAGCTACATCTGATTCCACAGGCCTCAGTTAGTGTGTAAAATGCTAAAATTTGTGACAATACAATTAGGAAAAAGCCTGAACTAGTGTGAAAGGGTTTCCAAGAAAGAGCCTCTTCTCCCTAAAAAGAAAATGACAGCTTAGATTTACAAAGTCGCATCTGAAGAATCCACAAGATTTCTGGAACAAGACTTCTGTCCTTTGGACAAGCAAGACCAATATAGAGATCTGTGGCAAATCAGCACAAAAACCTCATACCAACTGTCAACCACTGTGGAGAAGGGGTGATGATTTGGACTTGTTCTGCAGCCACAGGACCTGGGCATCTTGCAGTCACTGAGTCAACCATCTGTATACCAAAGTATTCTAGGGTGAAATCTGAAGCCGTCTTTCTAACAGCAAAAGCTTGGCCCAAATTAGTTCATGCAACAGGGCAATGATCCTGTGCAAAGTAGGAAATCTACAACAGAACAGTTAACAAAGAAAAAAATTAAGATGTTGCAATAGCCCAGTCAGTCCAGACCTCATCCTGACTGAAAAAAGAGAGCTGTGCATAAACAAATGTCCACAGACCTCAATGAACTGAAGAGACTGAAACAGTCATACAGAAAATGTATTTTGTTTCTCTTTCCAAAGTATTTTGTTAAAGGACTCTGTGTAATAAGCCTTGTGGTGGTGTTCATCTGAGGGTTGTCTGAAACCTTAGAATTAATAAGGGTATGTTTTTTCTTTTGGCTCACCGTGACTTTTCAGGGATTTAACTCAAACTTCTAGCCTGTAACCTGTCAATACAAATTTACTTTAAAATACAGTTAAAATACAGAAAGAACAGAATAATTGACAATGAAAATAATAGGTGTAACCCTCCATTTGGTGCTTAGGAGATGGAGAAAATAATCTAATTTCTTCTAATGAAAGTTACACATGTAGCCGTAGGTTATACCACTTTTTTTTTGCTTCCTGGAGAATTACTTTAAATTAGAAGTAAAATTACATCCCCAGATATTTTTCAGAACAAATTTCTCTATTTTTTAGGCACAATGGAAAGTAATTGATAAGGAACTGCTGACCTTTCCTTTCTGGCTCCTTGTAGTCTTTTATTGGTATGTTTTAAGTATTTCAGTAGTTTTTATGGGTCTCTTACGTGTCATTGCTATTGATTGAAGTGTAGGTCGATGTTATTTGACTCCAGGTTTCTGTTGGAATCAACCAAAATGTTCCAGTTGGGACTTGAAGAGGACATTCTGCACTTTCCTCTCCTCTTATTCCATGATCTAAAATTTCCTCACTTAACCATCTGATCTGTTATCAATACTTTTTTCCATTTCTTCTGCACAATAGTAGATTGTTGTAGCTGTCTGGATAAAATGAAATGTTGCCATTGAATCACAGATTTGGATGTTGTAATAGGACATTTCCCCAAGGCCATGGCGTCATCCTCTCTCTTCTCCTCTCCTCTCCTCTCGCTAACCTGCGTAACTACAGAGGGAACAGGTGGACACAAAGTCTGACAATAATGTACCCAAACATGGAAACATGTTTTTTGTTTTCCTCTTTTTGAAATTAGACCAGTGCGACCATATTTTTTATTTATTTTTTCCTCTACAAGATTCATAGTGTAACTACCCAGGCACCCCCATCCCCCCACACCCCCGCTGTCCAGAGTCTGGATATGTTTCAGTCTTCTGCTGGGAAAAACAAGTTGGCAAAACACGTGGATGATGTATGAGATCTTTGATATGGATTCAAACTTCCACAAACATACTCTGTCACACACGTAATTACACCTACACAAGTATTTGCATGCTCAAGTGTTCGGTCACATGCACTTGAGTCATGCTGATGTAGAAGTCACTGAGAGTTGGTCTTGCTATTGCCAGATGGTGTGTGTAGTGTGTGTGTGATTACTGCTTTGGTGTAGGTTTTTTCTTTTCTTTTTTTTTTTCTTTTTGATCTGTGCCGTTGCGTATACGTGTGGGCGATTAGCCTTGTTTTCTTCAGAGTGTTTTCCACGTCTGCAGCCGTTGGCTGGCTCCACCAGCCGCAGGCCAAAGACCTTATTTACCACCAGCTATGACTTTTGGGAAAGAAATGGTATCAGCCAAACAGATTTGATTTCAGCCCATCACAATCAGCGGGTTTGTAAATACCATTCAGATATAGATTTAAATTGCAGGAATGAAAATGTGTGAAAACTGAGTGTTGTTCAAATGTTTGATTTTTGACAAAAGCAGTGATTTTTCTCTCTGCCAATTGCGAGATCATACGCTGCTCATCTGTCATGTTAGTTGTGATAGCAGTCCTTTAAAGCCTTTTTTCCTGTCCCAATAGAGTTTGATATGAGGCTGTCAGGCGAGCTAGACTCGGTTCTCTTCTTCTTAATGACAGAGTTGGCTGACAGAGACTCTCCTGATGCTGACAACTAAATGATCTCTTCTTTATTAAACACCTCTTACTATCTCTCCATCTCCCCCGGACTATCTCACTTCCTGCTCGCCTTGAGTATCTTTTTATCTTTTGACTGACTGCTCTCCCTCTCCTTGTCTATTTCACATTCCTTAGTCTCTCAACCCTTCCACTGCTTTTCTCACCTCCTTTGCTAGTAGGAAGCTTCTGCATTGTTTTCTCATTGAGTTGTTTTTGATTCTACCTTCATTGTTCCCCCCCCACTTTTTTTTCTTCCCCCCCATCTCTCAAACAGAAGAGCGAATATACTTCCATCCTTTACCTGGGGCTATCAGCCAGTCTGCTAGCCAGTCAGCGAGCTTGTCGGGCAGAGTGTCAATCTGTTTGATAGTCACTCAGCCAGCCAGTCAGTCATTGTGCACCAGTGTGAAAACATTAATTAAAAGTCTCATCCACAAAGCCAGGCAGTGATCCAGGCTGATCTCAACAATCCAAGCTTTCCGTCTTCGTCTTTTTCTGACTCTACCTTCTTTTCTGTCTCTGTTATCCTCTCTTCATACCTTCTCAGCCTCTTTCTGGGTTTTGTCTGTTTCTTTCTCCTCTTTCCTTGAGCACTAAAAGACTGGTCTGATAAGAAACATTATTAACTTCTTTCTGAGAACCCAAGAACAGAAAGCTCGAGAATAGAAGTGGGATGTGGGGGGAAAATAAGGAAGTAGACAAAGAGAGAGGCAGAGGTGTCAAACATAAGAGAGTAAGGTGGTGAATCGGACAGGAGACATTAAAAGTTGGTAGAGGGAGCAGATGGAGGGACGGACTTTTTGTTCCTCCATCTGCTGGATGGAGGTTGTGTGTCTATCTTGTTAATAATTCTGACGCAAGTCATCCTGTGGTGACCATTTCGTGTACATATTTTGTGGTAGTCCATCACTGCGTTGTTTCCTTTGACTGGACCAAACTTGTGACTCAACGATAGACCAGAATTATAACCCTGCAGCTCTGCCTGCAGCACAGCTAAATATTTACCCAAGACTCGAATAACTAATATTGATCCAGATGTTAAAAATGGGCCAGCAGCAAATCAGAATGTTACATTGTTGTTGTTTTTGTTTTGCAGATATGGGAAAATTGTCTCTACAAAGGCCATCTTGGACAAAAACACCAATCAGTGCAAAGGTGAGTGAGTTTCATTCAACTTGTTTCTGCAAGGATGCAGTATCTGCACTCTACTTCACAACCTCAGGTCTTTTTATTTATAGAGACCATTTCCTTTACTTAAACACCGACAGTGTAAGTCCATGTGTTGGAGAACACACGGCCGCTGACTATAAAGGCCATGTTATCCTTTAATCTATCGTAATGATGCACTTCTAGAGAATCTCTATTTTGCTTAACTTCACCGTGATGATGATTTCAGGATTGCTCTCTAATGATACTCAGAGTTGAGCGCATTTTGAAAGCAAGCTGTTGGTATTGTTGTCGTATGCAAAATCAGGATGGAGAACACCAGACAATAGACACAATATGTTTCAAATCGTCTCTGCGGTAAACGGGGCTCACTCAAGTGTCCTCTGATGAGGGTCTGCTTGATTGTTAGAGTGGTCTGAACAAAGCACTAATCAATATGATTGTAGTCGTCTGCTTTTGAAGAGGCACACAAGAGCGTGCGTTCAGAATGATTGCTGCTCATCTGTCAGAGCTGTACTCAAAGGTATCCTGACACGGTTTAGGACAACAGCACAAAGGTCCTGTAATCACAGTTTCAGGTTGGACGGTGTGAGTGAAGGAAAACCCAGTCTGATTGGTTCTGATAGGAGAAATGTTAATGTGAATTTTAAGTCTTCATCTGTGCTGATTACTTAGGATAAAATATTTTGATTCCACTCCTGCTTGTCTTAACATAATAATGGGAAAACCAAATCTCAGTAAGGCTCCTCTGGAAAGTCTTTTACTTCGCTCATTATCTTGAATCTTTCTAATTGGCTAGTTATGTAAATCTTAAACTTCATCTTGCTGCTACCTGCTTCACCATCACATAATCAAATATGGCTTGGGAGTCTTGAGCGCATATTAAAATGCCTTTCCTGACTGCTTTACAGCACAGCCAAAGGAAGGGAAGAAAATTCTATAAGTCCAGTGATAGTTATCAGTTATTCTTTCTCGGCTCATTAATTTTTGTCATTGGTGTTTTGTGAAATGAGTTTTTCAAAACCTGTTTCAGTATGGCCTCCAGTTCATAATTGTGATGTCTGCCAATTATGTCTTCGTGTTCATGCTTCTTTATAGTATGGAAAAGTTATCATTTTTGATCGTACTGCATGAGTGCTTACAAATTAAATGGAAAACGAACGTAATTTCTGCTTTCAATTATATTTCCTGGATATGGGTGATGATATGGTTTCATTGTTCACCAATCCCAGGCAAACACAGTTTATTTGAAAGTCTAAAGCTTATTAGTGTTTACCAGTGCTGTACTTTTGTATAAAAATGCTGTTAGGAGCACGTCAGTGAGCCACGATATTGGGTGAGATCTCTCTAATGGATGCTGACACTCTGTTTCCAACCTGTGCACATCTGATGCTCAAATACATCAGCTATGTATCAATCCATGGTAGAAAGTAGTCCACAATATAGATTTACACCTATTATAAAAACATTGTGGAAAAGCTGTTTCAGCTAATACAATATGTTTGTGACTTGGGTTTTAAACAACCACATGGGAAGATAAAAAATGATTAAATGAACAGTTATGTATTGACTTTTCTTTGCAATAAATAAAATAAAAGACTAAGATTAATGCCACATGGTGTCAATTTTGACTCATTGGCACTTCATTAAATATACCTGTGCATCTGCTAATCAACTCGTATCCAATCGGTCAATCACATGGCAGCACCTCTATGCATTTATGCATGTAGACGTGGTCAAAACAATCTGCTGAAATTGGACCCAAAGATGCTTTACGAAGAAAAGGGAGAAACGTGATTTAAGTGCCGTGTTGTTGTTCAGACAGGTTTTCTAGGAATTTCCATTCAGTTGTCTTTAAGGTTTCTAGCAAGCAGTCTAAAAGAGAGAAAATAGCCAGATATTGAGCTAATAGACAGGCAGCCTAAACCTAAAACAACACATTGAATATTAAAGCAGATGTGCAAGAAGACCACACCATGCACCACTCCTGTCAGGAAAGAACAGAAACTCGGGTTACATTTTAAACAAATAGAAGATTGGAAAGATGTTGCCTGGTCTGAATACTCTTGATTTCTGCTTTGACATTTAGGGGATGTGGTCAGAATTGGGGCATAAACAACATGAAAGCATGGATCCATTCTGCCTTGTATCAACCGTTCAGATTAGTTGTTGGTGGTGTGATGGAGTTGAAGATATCTTCTTGGCACACGTTGGGCACCTTAGTACCAAGTGACACTCATTTCAGTGCCACAGTCTACCGGAGTATTGTTGCTGACTATGCCCCATTCCTTTATGACCTCAATATACCCATCTGCTGATGGATGCTTCCCGCTGGGTAATGTGATATGTCACAAAGCTCAAATCATCTCAAACTGGTTTCTTGAAGATGGCAATGACTTCATTGTGCTCAAATGGCCTCCACAGTCACCAGATCTCAATCCAATAGAGCAGCTTTGGGATGTGATGGAGTGGGAGATTTGTATCATCAACTTTGTGGGGCTATCACATCTCTGTAGAATATTTCCAGCACATTGTTGAATCTGTCCCAGTGAAGAATGGATGCATTTATAAAGGCAAACTGGCCTTCCCACTACTAATAAGGTGTACCTAATGAAGTGGCTGAGGTTGGACCCTATTACTATGTGGGTTTTATATTTAGAGTCCAGAATTTGTAACTGCACAGACTTTTATTTCTCTTCTGGGTTCAATTTCAAGTCAGATAAAAAGTTTAGTGAATAAAATTTTATTCTAATATGAATAAAAGTCAGACTGTGACTTAACAGTCTGCAAGCTGTCAGATTTTTTGCAACGTCAGTTAATGGCTTCAGACCAAAGAAGACAAATTGACAGCTTGTTTTAATCACATTCACTCACATTTTGTTTGGCACTGTTGACTAATCAATCCAGAGAAAAGTTCACGCAGCTCGTTGCCTGTAATAGTCAGCATGGGAGGTAAGAGCATACACGAAGCTGGTGTCTTTGTTCCTTGTAAAAAATAAATAAATAAAAATTACATTTGAAAACTTGCCACCCTGTCCTAGTTATATTGCAGACATGACTAGGGAAACTAAACATGAGAGAAACTTTTTTCAGAATGCAATCGCTATACAACAAGCTATGAACTGATGCACAATATTTAATGCACAGTCTACCATAATACACTAGCTGCAGCAGCATAGGCGATTACAGGCTGTGGCTCTCATCAGCAATTTCGCTGCTTGTGATGTAGACTTCATACATCTTTTAGCCAGTTGTTAACTCACAATGAAGGAGTTTCATTATCAGTCGGCCATTAGAGTGCCTTACAACCGGATAAGTGTTGGTTTGATTGCAAAGGCATTCAGTAGGGACAAGATAAGTGCTTAGCGTGACTAAGAGAGTACAAATTGGCACAGAGAGCTCTCTTGGAAAGGGAGGGATGGATGGGTGGAGGCACAGAGAGGTGGAGGGACGGGGTAAAAATAAACTGGGGCTGACAGAAAAGGAAGGAGACCCTTTGAAACTGATGATTTAGCAGACAGCCTTTTCTTTTCAGGAAGACTATGCAGAGAGCCAGAAAGCATGAAAAATGTAGTCAAAGAGACAGGTACATAAATAAAGCCATCTTCCCCTGCAGTCCGAGGAGACGCACAGTTCGATTGGTTTGCATACTTTTGCTGTCATGCGGGAACCATGTGATCTCAGTTTCTGTGATGTTTTTCTTGGTCTTTATCCCTGAAAAATTGATGTTTCGTCTTCAGGGCAATGTAAATATATTGTTTGATGCCATGAAATGAGATGCACTGTTTTTAGAATTACTGTTTAATTAAGTAAACAAAGAAAATAAAAGTTTTACTTTATTCTCTGAAATAAAAGTATTATGTTTGTAGAGTCCTATGCTTTGTTGGGAGCTCGGTGTTAAATACACTGGCAGTTTTGTTGTTAGCGGGATCTCTGAGGGAGGGAGAGTGTATGCTGCACAGGATAGAGGAAGGGAGAGGAAGCCACTAGATTGTAAAGGACTTCCATTTCCTAAAGCAAGCACCCTCCCTCTCACTGTCTCTGTGTCTCCAGTAGAATCCCCCCCTCCCTTAAAATTCAGTCTGCCTGTGCCTCTCGCTTGCCCTCTGTTCCCATCTCACTGCAACCCCCAAATTCCTCCATTGCTTCGTCTCTTTCTTTGGGTTCCTTGTGTTTCCTTGTGTACTCGGGCCATTAGAATATGCTAACCAAGGCCAGGAGCTCAGGAGATTGGATTGAATCTAGTGGTGTTTGTGTGTGTTCATGCTCATATTTATCTGTCCTTCCATCGGTGTCTATGAATCCATTTGTGCATGTTTGTGTGCACTTTATCACTTTTTGTATTATCACAAGTGGAATATTTGTTGGAGTGACCACAGAGGAGAGGGTCAAGTGCACAAACATGAATGATTAAATGTTTTAGATTTTCATTTTTTGTTATGTAGACTTATAACATGTGTTCAATCCATTCACATTTTGTTTGAATAGAAAGCACACAGTCTTTCAGTTAGGATTTGGCATCCCAGGACATAGTAAAAATAACATGGTCCTTACACCATGTAATTATTTAACAAAAACCTTAACCAAAATGCTGCTTTCATTAAGAGAAACTAAGACTAAACAATCATTTGGAATTGATCATGTGATCATCAGTAAGTGAGAGCACACCTATAAAAGTAGTTTGCTGGTCTGGAGCATTCAGGTAGGTGTGTGTGTGTGTGTGTGTGTGCGCGCGTGCGCGCACGCAGTGCCAAGGAAAAAACTGATGCCTTAGCAATCTGGGAATTATCCAGACAATTTGACATCCATTAATCTTCAGTGAGAAAAATTTACAAGTGGAAAATATTCAACAGAGTCACCAATCTTCCTAGGAGTGGACCTGCCGAATTCACCCCTATTCACCTCAGACTGTGCAATTCTGATAGAAACTGCAAAAAACCCAAGAGCTGCATCTCAGTCTCTACAGGCCTCAGTTAGCATGTTAAAGT